CACTTCAGCTACCTGAGGTGAAGTTTCACCACCCCTGCCTCTAAACACCCTGGTTATGCCTTCGCCAAGACAGACTTGTGTGTCCTCCTGGCAGTTCATGGGATATTCACCACTCTCTACTGACACTGAGACTCAAAAGATCGACTATTCTTCTGCCTTCTACACTAAGTTTCCAACTTTTGCACATGTAGGAAACAATTAAAAATACCATGGTTTATGTACAAGGGACAATATCCGTAAGAGCAATGTGGAAACACCTGAGTCTGACCTCTACTAACTGCAGAAAGGGGAATTCTCCCCATCAGTGACATCTGGAAATCGAAACGAATAGCTACAAGGTCAGACATAGCCCCTCATGCTGCTGCACTATATCTTCTAATTACCGAGTCTGCAATTCACTGCAAAGGATCACACAAACTTTATGGAATCCTTTTACACTAAGTTAGGGTGTTTATTAGGAAAATAACTTGGAGTGAGAGGGTATCTGACAAAACAATATCACACAATGAAAGTCCAGGTTTAGTAAATGGCAATCCCAGACCAGGTCAACAGTAAGACACAATCACTCGGTGAACTGAGACAGCTCCTCAGCCAACATGAAGGACGCACACCGATGTCTCTTTCCTGGTCAGAAGTTCCTGTCTCAATGGCTCTGGCCCTGGCTCAATCAGGCTGCACTTTGCTACAGTCCTGCCCCAGTCTGGTTAGCTCTCTCTAGTATGTTGATGCAAATGGAGCAAGGTCACATGCCATTGGCCGTATATAACCTTTACCAACGTTACAAAGGGAAACTGTCCTTGTCAACAGCACCAACAATATAAAACTCGTTCCAATGAGGTCAGATATGTTGCCCACACCCCCACACCTCTTTCTACTCATCCCAACACCAATCTTATTGCTCTGCAGGGACCAAAATCTGATGCAAGAGCTCACAGCCAACAAAGAACCATACTGGGAAATTCAAACCCAAATTCAGGTTTGTAGCAGAATAGTCAGGACAGCTTCTTTCTGAAATGTGCTCATTGGCGCCTCAGCCTTGAGCCTATGGCTTTAGACCAGTGATACAAAGTTCTCAGCTCTGCCAAAATTGGCTCTCCACCCGCACTCACTCCTAGTCTTTCAAGGTAGTTGTTGTTGTTGTTTGTTTGTTGTTGTTGTTGTTGTTGTTATGTGCCATCGAGTCACTTGCAACTCATAGCGACGCCGTGTACAAGAGCTTTAAACCCTGCTCTATCCTGTGCCAACCTCACTGTCACCAACACACCTACTCCCACTGCCCAAGCACTGACTCTATCCATCTCATCAAGGGTCTTCCTCTCCTGCGCTGTCCCTCCACCTTCCCAAGCATGACGTCCCTCTCCTTGCAACATGTCCAAAGTATGTCAGACGAAGCTTCAGAATCCTTGATTCTAAGGAGCAGCTGGGCTTAACCCTCTCCAGGACAAACTTAATTGTTCTTCTAGCAGTCCATGGTATATTTAATACTCTTCTCCAGCACCACAGCTCAAAGGCATCAACTCTCCTTCTATCATCTCTAGTCATTGTCCAACTCTCTGACACATATCAAGTGATTGAAAAGACCATGGCTTGTATCAGGCGCACCTTAGTCTCCAGACTGACATCATTGCTCCTCAGTACCTTGGAGAGGTCCCTGACAGAAGACTTTCCCAATGCAATTCATCTTTTAATTTCCTGGCTGCTGGTGCCAAGAGTGTTGATTATAGAGCCAAACAAACTGAAGCTATCAACAATCTCAATCTCTTCACCATCTATGATGATTCTGCCAATCGGCCCAGTGGTGAGAATCTGTTTTCTTGACATTGAGTTTCAATCCGTATTGAAGGCTGCATCTTTGACCTTCTGCAGCAAGCAATTCAGGTCCTCCTCAGTTACAGCAAGCAGGGTTGTGTCATCTGCGTAACGAAGATTGTTGATGAATCTTCCTCCAATTCTGATGCCATACTTCTCATCGAGCCAGCCTCCCAGATAATCTGTTCTGCATATAGATTGAAAAGATATGGAGATAGGACACATTCCTGGCATACACCCTTTCCAATTTTGAACCATGCAATGTTTCCTTTCTGTGTTCTGATGACTGGCTCCTGGTCCAAGTGTAAATTTCACATAAGCACAATCAAGTGTTCTGGGATTCCCATTCTTCTCAAGTCAGCCACAGTTTGTTGTGATCCACACAGTCAAATTCCTTTGCATAATCAATGAAACACAGATAGACATTCCTCTGGTACTCTCTGCTTTCAGCCAAGATCCATCTGACATTAGCTATAATAGCCCTAGTGCCTCAGCGTCTTCTAAATCCAGGCTGCACTTCTGGCAGTTCTCTGCTGATGTGCTGTTCCAGTCGTTTTTCGATGATCTTCAGCAGAGTCTTGCTTGCATGTGAAATCAGTGATATTGTTCAATAATTTCCACACTGTTGGATCACCTTTCTTTGGAATGGGAACAAATATAAATCTCTTCCAGTCAGTAGGCCAGGTGGTTGTCCTCCAGATTTCTTGACACAACTTGGTGAGCACATCCAGGACAGCATCTGTTAGTTGAAATATGTCAGTTGGCCCCATCAATTCCTGGGGCCTTATTTTTTGCCAATTATTTCAAAGCAGCTTGAACTTCCTCCTTCATCACCACAGGCTCTTGTTCATACGTTGTTTCATGAAATTTTCCTGTGTCTGCCAATTCCTTTTGGTTTAATGACTCTGTGTACTCTTTCCATCTTCTTTCAATGTTTCCTGGATCATTTAATATTCTGCCCAAAGCATCCTTAAATATTGAAACTCGAGGCTTGCCAAGCGAGTTTGGCCCTTTTGGTTTTCTGACTCCAACTCCTTGCACATTTCATTGTACTGCTTTACTTTGTCTTCCCTCACTGCCGTCTGAGATCTTCTGTTCAAATCCTTAATATCTTCACTTTTTTCCCCTTTTGCTTTGGTCTCTTGGTACTCCAGTGCAATATGTAGAGTTTTTTCTGACATCCATTTTGGTCTTTTCTTCTTTCTCTGCCTTTATAATGATCTTTTGCATTCTTCCTGGATGATACTCTTGATATCCTCCCACAGCTCATCCAGTCTTCACTCATTAATATCCAAGGCCCCAAACCTGTTCCTGAGATGGTTTTGAAATTCAGATGGGATAGATTCAAAGGCAAATTTTGGTTCCCGTGGACTTGATTTAATTTCCCTCAGCTTCAGCTTGAACTTGCATATGAGTAGTTGGTGGTCTGTTCCACAATCAGCTCCTGCCCTAGTTTTCACAGCTGATATTGTGCTTCTCCAGCAATTCTTTCCGGAGATGTAATCCTCCAAGGTACTTGGACAAAATGCTCATAGCTCTGGTTCCATGGTGTGACAGTCCCAAGGTCTGCTCCGTCTCACGTCAGGTCTCTGTTCTCTGTGTTGGCTGCTGCTCCTGTAACACCTAGTCTGGCTGGCGCAAGAATCTCTGGTTCTGAAGGATACATTACGTTCTCTTGTTTCTTCTTTCCTGGTGATGAGGTTTCTCCAATTCTACTGGATCTGCTCATTTAGTGGTGAGACTAGCCAACCCCCTTGTGGAGAGGCTGACAGACTCTATTCACATACTCCTGCCCATCTCCACATGACACAAAGTCAATGGCTAGGAGAACAATTTTGAACACTAAAGCCATAATGCCATGGTTGGCCTTGCAGCTGCTGATGACATTGAAGGCAGTGATCAACAGCAAACCACGTGTCCACAGTTGAGGCAGCTGGAGACCATGCTCCCAGGGAAGACTAAGGCTACGAATAGAAAAGAGCGTCTCAAATGTCCTAATACCACAGACCACCCCTGGCTGTCCTAGCCATTCCTTCATATCCATTGTCCTTCATTAACCAAAGGATCAGCCTTCTCCTAACTATCATCTATATTCATGAGAGTGCGTAGGCCAGCTACTTCATAACTCATGCCTTCATCCTGTTAGATAGCTAATTGCTGATTGCCGATTCCTGTCAAATTAATCTATATGCTAGACAAATTATTTGAAAAGCTGGACTCTTATGAAGAAAAATGTGGCAATAAGAATGGTGGAAAACTCACTAATAACCTTTACTATGCAAATGACACCAGCTTGCTTGCTGAAAGTGAGGAGGACTTGAAGCACTTGCTTCAGAACGTTAAATACACTGCAGCCTTCAATATGGATTGCATCTCAACATCAAGAAAACAAAAATTCTTGAAAATGGACCAATAAGCAACATCATGATAGATGGAGAAGAGATTGCAGCTGTCAATGACTTCAGTTACTTGGATCCAGAATCAATATCCTTGGTACCAACAGTCAGGAGATCAGGAGGCATATTGTACTGAGAAAGTCTGCAGTCACAGTCCTCTAAATTATTGAAGTGTAATGATGTCAAGTTTGAGGACTAAAATGTGACTGATTCAAGCCATTTTCAGTTACTTGCTTTGCATCTGAGAGCCGGACAATAAATAAGGAAGACAGAATTGATGCCTTTAACTGTGGTTTTTGAAAAGAGTGCTGAACATTTCATGGACTGCTAAAAGAACAAACAAAGGTGCAGCCAGAGTGCTCCTCCGAGGCAAGGATGGAGAAGCTTCATCTCACATCCTTTGGGGATGTTGCTAGGAGAGGCTGTTCCTTGGAGAGGGACATCATGCTTGGAAAGGTGGAAGAGCCACAAAAGAGAGAAAGTCCTTCAACCAGGGTTGACATGGTGTCTGTGGCAACGGACTTGAGTGTGTCAGAGACTCTGAGGGTGGTAAATGATAGGACAGTGTTCAGTTGTTCATAGGGCGCTATGAGTGGTTCTTGACAGCAACTAACAGTAGCGACATCAAACTAGTAATCTGAGGAAACAAGCATGTCTTTTTCTATGACAAATACTCTATTACATTGAACAACTGCATCTATAAACAAAGATCGAGTCCAGAGAAAGCCATCAGGTTAAAACGATCAACATTAGCTCAAAGAATGAAACATTTTCTTTTCACCTGGTTGGTTTCAGGTAACCCAACCATCAACGGCTACATCCAAATGGGCATCAGCCGCAGACACTTCCTGCTTTTCAGACGAGGTGGTCCCTTCACTCAGCCTTAGGCCACATGGACTGAATCAGCACATCAGAGGGCCTCCTGATTGCCTGCTCCACAGGCCAGCGACCCCATCTAGTACTCATGCTTGGAGGGCTGCATTGAAGGAGTACATCATTGTGGTCACCACGAGTGTAGCACACTCACCAGCTTCTCTGAAGGCCTGGAGAGGAGCTCTGATGGGCACCAGCTTTACCTTGCCTCGGTGCAGTGCCAAAGGCTCCCTTTTCCTACTTGCTGTCTTTCAAAGCTAACCTTCCTCAGAGTACTGGATGGGGTTTAATCTTTTCCAGGTCAGGGCCCATGCTCTGTACCAAATTCTGTTATTTCAACAAGCATTCCTTTAGGGCAGAATTCCCTTTTCATATATCCTGTTACACACTAGATGAAGGTGGGTTTACATCCTTCCTCTAAGTTACAATATATCACATGATTATAATATCCTGTATTTATCTTTATGATATATTTTACTACAGCCAGTAGAGTTAAATCAACACAAAATTTAATCCTTTTTACAAT